CTTGTTTTTCCTATTATGCATTTATGCCTATTATCGTTAATATGTTTTTTATTAGTTTTTAAAATTAATCCTATACCGCCCATTTTTTTTATTATTTTTAACAATTGATAACTATAATGGGTAATCAAGCTGGTAATCAAAATGAGTGTTTTTATCGTATAACATGGGACTGTGTTTCATATTCTACCAAAAAAAAAAAAAAAAAGTGAAGAGGGCTTTAAAAATGATGTGGTTAGTAGATACCTATATCATTATGTGGTTTTGTGTATGGGAAGAGGGTATGTGGTTGACAACCCTTTTAGCCTTATCTTTAGTCGGTGGTCTTACGAATGGAGATCAAGTATCGTAATTAATATCTATCGAGCAAATGCAATGTTTGAAGCGGTAAAAAATGACTCTCTCAAATAAGAGGTTATGTGTTCAAGTTTCACTAGAAAACATAGGTGATGTTTTGGATTAGATTATAACTAGGATAGTTTGCCATTTCAAAAAAAAAAAAAAGTTAGTGAAAAATTTTAAGTTATTAAAAAGTTTTGAAGGCTGTTTGATATGATTTTTTTTTGGGTTTAATAAAAAGTTGTATTTTATTTGATAAATATCACGATTAAAATATTGAATTTTATCTTATAACCTCTGATATTTTTCTAACCGGTTATGATAAGAAACTAGTCACAAACACAATAAAACCTTACTCAATTAAAACCGACTCGATGAAAGACTATGAGATAGCCTCTTAGTTATTAGCATGAAGTTGTATGAGAAAGTGGTGAAATGAACTAGGGATGCCAATGATGGTGGGGAGACATGGGGGACGATACTTCACGTCTTTAGGGGGTGTTCAATAATAAAAAGATTAGCATAGTAATAATAGTTAACGAAAAGCAAAACTGAGGGGTATAAAACAGGAGCATTAAATATTGTAGTTTGCTTTCATAATAGTATATACTTTGTAAGGTATAAAACAGGAGCATTAAATATGATTAAAGTTGATAGAAAAAGAAGAAGCTATGAAACTTCAATTTAATCTTTGTCACGAAGCAAACAATACCTATGATGGGAATCAGGACTTTCATTCATTAGAGGGTCCCCCAACCAATCAATTCAAAATAAGTTACAAAACATGGTTAATTTAAACTCACTTTATTTTGATCGCACTAAATTAAATGAAACCAATTAAATTTAAAAAGAAAAATTACTTGGGTGAACAATCCATTAAAAGCGAGGTGTAAAATTTCTTTTCTAGTAAATTTGATGACCCATTAACCAATAGATCATACTTACAAAGTGCTCGCTTTAAACAAATATCCAATGAGGATAGGAATTTTCTTGAAAGAGAGGTCTATATGGAGGACTTGAAAAATGTGGTTTGGTCTTGTGGCAACGGCAAGTCCTCGGTCTAGATGATTTTACTTTTAAATTTGTTACTTTGATGAGAGTGGGTTTCTAGCAAACGATGAAATTCTTCATTTCTCTTATCCCAAAAGTGGCAGATCCGATGGTGCTTAGGATTATAGACCAGTGAATTTATTTGGATACTTGTAACAAGTTATTACCAAACTTCTTGCAGTTAGGCTCAAATGTGTTATGAATAAAATAATTAATCCTGGGCAATATACTTAAATGGAAGGTAGAAACATTCTCAACGGTCCCTAGATAGTTAATCAACTCGTAACATGGGACAAAAATAAAAAAACTAAAAACAAATTATAGATATTTAAAGTAGTTTTCGACAAAGCTTTCAACCCATTCAATTGTAACTTTTTAGACTCGATTTGGAACAAATGAAGTTCATGAATAATGGAGGGGTTGGATAAAAGGTCGTCTCTCATCCGATAGAGCTTCGGTTTTGGTGAATGCAGCACTCATAAAGAATTTGAGATTAAGGTGATGTTTGTTTTTCTATAAAAACTTCTTCAAACCATTTATTGTTGCGTGACGCATCACACGCGCAACACTTTTCCTATCGCGGCAGTTTATTTTTTGGAAGACTTCAGACTACAAAACCTTTGCGCGTGTGCTGCGTGGCGCAGCACTTGACTTGCATCTTCTAACCTCTTCAACTTTCATTTTTTCTAAGTGTTTTTTTAAGAATTTTTGTATAACTTTTTTTAAATTTTTTTTTTTAAACTTTGATTTTCTTAAATTTTTATTTACGGATGTGATACAATTTATTTTTATAATTTCCACGATTTTTTTTAACTTTATTTTTTTTTTTTTTTTTACCGTTTTATTAATAATATTTTCAATTTCAGTTACATCTTTTTTAACGTGTGTAATTTTTTACGAACTTTGTAAACAACGTTTGCAATACTTTCTTAATTTTTTTGTTATTTTCTTTTTTAATGTTTTTTAAAATTAACTTTTTTTTTTTCAGAATAAAACTATTAGCTTCTTTTACATTTTTTATGTTTTTTTTAAGTTTTATATTTTTGTTTTTTACATGTTCTTGTTATTAGTATTTCAATGTTTGAAGACTATAATCATTAAATTTCAGTGTTGAGAACTATTTTTAGTTTATTAAAATTTTAGTTTACTGTAGCAGTATGTAGATGTTAAAAAACAAACATGCTTCTTATTATAGGTTGCATCCATTTGTTCCACCTCTTCTGTTACAAAGGATTGCAGAAGTGGTCTGCAGACTTCATGAATTTTCGTTTCGAAAAAACAAACAACACCTAAGAGAAGGTTTAGACAAGGCGATTGAAGCAACGTGGTTTCCTTAATAACTTGTTGAATGGAAGTATTGCTTCTCCAAGTGCTAAGGTTGGGAATTACATCTACAAAATAGATGGGAAACTAGGTTTAGATCATCACTAGGAAAGGGCCTCAATAATGTTCTCCGATGCCTAGGTTAGTATCGAATGTCTTTGTTGCTTTATATTGCTACAAGGTGTATTAGGAGATGAGTTTTTGTTACATGTTCTTGTCGAGGTTTGATCATGGTATTTAAATTTATAGGGAAGACCCTTGGTTGTTTGTGTTACACAGGTAATTGTATTGCCTTATGGTAATAAGGGTAGTACCATTTAATATAATAAACTTTTTCCCTGATTTTCAGGATATTACTTTAGAATTATCAAAGTATATTTTATTTGGGATGTCATCTGAATGAGTGCAGATTATATAGATTGCTTTGGGTAATCTTGCATGGTTGATGTTGTTTATCCGGGAAAGAGACTTACATTGTTTAGTAGGTCTGTTCTCATGTTTGGGTTAACAACGTACAACATTAACCCCCTCCCCCCCCCCAAAGCTCAATTGTTGTAGATTGGATTCTACTGAGCTTCTATAATTGGGTTTAAAGTGGTATGTTGTGAAATGAATCGTAGGTCATAGCTTACACACACTTGAGTACACACGTAAACGTGCAAGTGATTACCACCAGTTTGTCTGAGAGATTACTTCTAGCTTTTTGTTCCTTATTAATATCCATCCCAACAATTATTGACTCTTTCTATCTTCTACTTTTTATTTACGTGATTGTTTTTTTTTTCAAGATAATGTCTCATTTCGCCATGCCCGTCATTCATTCAACAATTTCTCGTAGCCATTTGGCAAAGGTTGTCAAGAAATACCATATCGATCGTCCCTCACCAGGTAAGATAAGGTTTCATATTTACTTTTTTTGAAGGAGGTTTGAAGGTGTCGCCTTCATCATTTTTAGGGGAAGTCATTGAAGCTTATGTCACGTACGTATTCCAGTTGAAACCAAACTCTATCTCAAACCTCATATGCTTCGAGTTGCTGCGTAATGTTGCCCTAGTTGTGCCAACAGTTGATCTCTTCCCTTACTTCTTTCGCATTTGTAGAAGGGATGTCTACTTCTATTTTGATCTCATGGAAAACTCTTCATAGATGGCCTTCGTGAATCCATCAAGATGAGGAGAAAATAAGTTCATTTACCTCAATGCTTCATGGTTCCTTTTCTGGAATACTTTTCATGCCCAAAGTATGATTGAAGATGAGCAACCTTAAAGGACACACCATCTTGTCTATGATATCTCGAAGATTTTTCTGTGAAGCGTTCTTGGGGATTTATTGCGTTTAGTACACTATCTAATGGTAACATAATAACCAAAACATTTACCTAAGTACACATGCATCCTAGCTAAAATCTATGTTTTACTAGTTTTAGCAATGTACTTTTGAAATCAAATTAAAAGGATAGAACATTTACCTCTTGATCCTTAGATCATGTGATCAACAGCTTTGCAATGGATAGAGATCCTAAAGTAGAACTCATCTAATGTAGTCAGGCCCAAGACTCCATAAGTAAACAAAAAATAAACAGTCAGACCCAAGACTCCAAAAGTAAACAAAAAATAAACCATAATTAGTGTTAGGTCGAAAATTCTATAACCCTAAAAAGGCAGCTCCTTAATCCTTAAGCAATATGCATTTCTAAGCGATAATCCTTACCTTATTAAAAGTTTACCCTATTCTAGAATATCTTATAGATTTCATCCATGTCTCCTTTCCAAGAGACCAAGAGGCTTCTAAAATATTCCAATTAATCTCAAGGAATTAATTAATATTCAAGCCTTTTAATTAATTAAAACTAACTAATTAATTACCAAAATAACTTCTAATTAATTTATTAATTCCTCAATAATTTAACAACTTATTTTCTCTATTTCCTTAATGTTATTTGTGTCATGAGGCCAATCTAAAAGGACTTTGTTATTGTTTAGAAATATTATCAACTAGTTAATGACATTGGACACTATTTCCAACAATCGCCCACTTAGACAAGTCATTAAGTTTTTAAGGTCTTAATACTTCTCAAATAACTAGTATGTAACACCCTATTTTGAAATTTTCCCTATTTTGAATTAGTGATCGAAGAATGGAGTACTATCAAGCTACAAATCCTTGAGGGGTTGGGTTTTGGACCCAGTTGGAGTTAGATAATGTATCTTGATTGCTTGGGTATTCAGTTGGAGTTTTTGGACCAAAGGGTATTTTGGTAAATTGTCAGCTTGGATTTTTATGGAAAGTGGATGTCTGTCCGGAATATCTTGTGTCTGGTATAAGTTGATAATGGTGTAGAGCGTCTCGGTACCTTTATATGAGTATAAGGATCGTTGGAATCAGAATTGTATCAAGTGAGTTATGGCCTTCGGAAGAATTAGGATTTATGAAAAACCCTAGTACGTGGGGCGTACCCGAGAGGTACGCAGGGCATACTGATGTGAAACTGGTTACGCAAGGCGTATTGTTGATTATACACAACGTAGGTGCTGGGTCTGGGTCGGGGTGCACGACCTTGTACGCGGGGCGTACGAGAAGGTATGTTGGGCATACGAGGGTCATATCGAAAACCCTAAATTCAAGGGTTGTACCCTATATAAGCATCCTTAAGTCATTGAGGCTAAACCCTAACAAGCCTCTACAACTCGATTTCGTCCCTTAAACTCAGATTTCCTTGTGAGAGTGTTTCTTGATCTTAGAAAGTGTATTGGTGGCCATTGTAGAGATTGTCCAATAAGGAGAAGATAGTGAGTATGCTTGGTGTGGCATTAAGCTTCAAGATCCTGCATCTAGATCATCTTAAGGAGCTTCTGGAGGTATAAAGCCTTAACCTTACCATCTTATTCATCAGATTGAGTTAGAGTTTGCTATGTTGTCCCCTTTTGTGTTCATGAATCATCTCTTGTGAGTTTGAGCAACTCCAGAGCTTAAGAAAAATAGATCTGAGGTCCATTGGTTCATTAGTACCACAAAATGTAGTCTTGATGGGTGTTTTGACCTCATGCTTGAGTTAAGACCCCTGGAAAGGTCTTAATGGGATGTAAAGGTTTGTTGGGAGCATGTGGAGCATGCAAAGGCATAAAGTTGCCAACTTTATGCCTTAGAACGTCTTAATGGACTCAGATCTAAAGTTGGACGTTGAAATCGAAAGTATTAACCACTTAATAGTTAATTGTGCACATCCTGATTGTACGTCATGCATATATTTGTGTACGCAACGCGTACTGCTTGAATGTGTAGTACGTTGTGCGTACTGGAGTGGTACGTAGGGCGTACGCATTCCAGTTGGGTTTTAGGATTCGTGTGGGCTTGTAATCCCTTTGGGCCTTACTCAGTGTTGGGCCTAGTCATATTTTGAGTTAATGGTCCGATTTATATGCTTTGGGCCATGGTTGTTTTGTTTGGGCCTTATATGATAATCTTAAAACCAAATAAACAGGGTGGTTATACTTGAAAAAAGCTAAACTGAAAACCTTTACAATCCTCAAACAAACATTTTTAACTTAACAAACGAGGAGTCGGAGGACTTTAAAAAGGTTTATGTATGTATGTGTGTGTGTGTGTGTATATATATATATACATGAAAAATATTCTTATACTACTTTTATTACATTGATTGGGTTTAGGGACATCTAAAAGTTGCTTCTTTGAATACCGTCTCATTGTTGCTTCCAAAGCTTTATGCAGAACTCTTTGATGGAAACTGTGCCTCTAGTAATCTTAGTTGTGCCACATCCCAAACACCATTGAGATATGGATCATCTTCTTGTCATGTCACACCACTACAACTTATGGACACCCTTCTATTAATATAGATGAGGATGATTGCTATTCCCATCATAATAGTAAGTCCATTACTCAGCCACCACCTTTTGCTGCTTCACCTTCTGGTAACCCCAACAGAAGGGCTAAACCCTCAACTCCTAGACCTCGAGCTCCTAATGCCTCACCTGATCCACCTTCTAGTGCCTCACCTAAAGCTTCTATTATTGTTGATGATTTAGCACTAGAGATGCAAAAAGCTCTACGGCATTTGACTCAAGGGACTACAATTCCTCAATGCTTAAAGAAGCTATAGTTGCTCAATTGAGGTCCATTAGACCCTCTTCAATTTGCTGCTTATCATATTTTTTGAGGGACCATGAATATAAGAGAGATGTGGGTAAATTTTCTCAATGATCCACATATATTAAGAGGATGGACCGAGATGACTACTACAAGTTTAGGAGTTTTAAAGGATGGAAAGATTATCTGTTAGGTTTACATATTTGTGTTGTTTAGGTTTTAATTGCATGTGTTGGAACTACGTGGTTATGTTTTTTGGTATTGTAATTTGGTTATTTGGTACTTGAAGGTTATTTATCGTATCTGGTACTTGTGTTGGAACTATGTAGTTATGTTTTTTGCTATTGTAATTTGGTTATTTGGTACTTGAATGTTATTTATGGTATTTGGTACATAAGTTTTATGTTATGTTATTTGGTACTTGAATTGTATGTTATGTTATTTGGTACTTGAATTGTATGTTATATTATTTGGTACTTGTGTTTATTAATAGGTTCCTAATGGATCACGACAAAAAGATACTTCTCATAATTCTAATGTACTTCTACGTCTGCTACTTTTGGAAGACGGGTGTGAAATGAGTGCGGGAGAACGATTCGGAAATGACGGGACATGAATTCACGTTAGAGTTACTTCATCCTAATCCTCTACAGTGTGTTGAAGTAGTAAGCATGCCCTATGAATCATTTGTCCGCCTATATGCTAATTTTAGAGTAAATTACACGTTAAAAGATAGAAAACATGTATCGGTTGAGGAAAAAATGACTATGTTTTTTATGATAATCGGTCATAACCAACCTAGTTACACGATGAAATTGTCAAGCAGTTGATTCAAAATATGAAATAAGAATTATTAAAGTTTGGTTATATGAATTTTATTTCAAACTGTTATTAAAACTAATTTGGTTGTATGATTTTTATTTCAATGTATTAAGACTATAATTATTAAATTTTTGGCATTGAAAAACTATTTTCGGTTTATAAAATCAGTTATTTCAATTTTTTAATATTTGTCCTGCAAATGTTAAAAACAAACATGTTTCTTATTTACAATATGCAGTCATTTGATCCGCTTCTTCTGCTATAGAGGTGGTCCGCAGATTTCATTAACTTTTACATAAAAAAAAACAAATGTATCATAGTTTATTAGTTTTAATAATATACATAATATTTAATAATTATTTTCTTAAAAGGACATTAACTAAACCATCTTTATAAATGAATTTATAAAACAAAAATATTTTCATTTAGTTTATAAATAATAATTATTTTTGTAGTTTTTAAAAATAATCATTTTCTTTAATTCTAAACTTGTTTTTGAAACTCGGTATTTTCTTTTATTTGATTTTTTTTCAAAGAAATTTCTTCGCTATATTTGAAATATCAAATTTTAATCTGTTTAACAGTAAAGTTTTCAAATCAAATATGTTCAAATTTTGATTTTTTTTAATCCCAAAATTTGTTAGGAGTACAAAATATATTTTCTTTTTAGAAAAAAAAGGTTTACTCCACAAATATAATTATATATATAATTTTGTTTTGTTTAACTTGAACTTTATTTTTATTTCTTATTTGTCGTTATATTTTAGAAAACATTTTAATTTTAGGTTATTTATCGAGCACTAATAGGTCATGATGATATCATATGTTATTTTTATATTTTTCTAAATTTATATTTAACCCCAATATTTATATATGAATTTGCATTTAACCCTAATTGTATGAATTTGCATTTAGTCCCAAAATATTTTTTTGTTCTCCGTTTGTGTTAATTTTTAGAAAAAAAAAAATCATTTAAAAAAACAATAATAATAAGTTATTTATTTTTGTTGTTTTACCTGTGCACATAGTTTTATTTTGTATGTCGTCATACTGTGAAACGGATTCTGACACAAGAATAATTGCATATAAAATTATTTTAAATTATATTTTTATAATACGACAGTAATTCCATTTTAAAGGGATATCAGTTACCATATATAGGCATGCCTATTCGGCTATCCATCGCAAATGCCTGGTCATTGACGCGTGGATCGATCGTCATCGTTCACGTATCCAACGTACGTAAAACGTTTGCCGCGTGTCGTACGAATGCGACGTCATTCACCGCTTGTTTCGAAGAAATTCCAATAATGCTCGTAGCCGTATGGGGCCAACAAGAGGTACGCAGGTATGAGGGAATTACTATAATCGTCCATGTATTATTTCTTGATATGGAAACCTTTCCCTTTAAAATTCATGTTTGTTCAAGTTTAGTCCCTATAAAAATTGTTAACGTACATACGTCGTTCAGCACTTCAGCGTTTGTAGGATTAGGATTTACGAAAACCTTATCCAAAAAAAAAATCTTATTAAATTTGGTTAGGTTAGTAGTAAGTTGTTAAAGGTGAAATTTTATCCAAAATCGTTTTATATTTTGAAAGATCGTGGTTGTAAAATCGTTCGTGATCAGAAGATCTTATTAAAATGAAATCATATTTAAATTTGTTCATAAGTTTTGGGGATACAGTATACATTATAACTTAACATTGATTAAGATGCGATATGAAATCGTTTTTAACTTCTTATGCATGAACCATATTTTTGTTGTTGCAAACCATTAAAAAACATCTTAATCACAAAAGAAAATAATATCATTGTAATTATGTACAACTAAATTCTTAATATCATAAATGGAATTTCATGAGTATATCATGTACTATAAAACTTATTTCAACTTACAATACTTATTTCATCTTAAATAAACAATTTTTTGAGGTTCGATTATTATTAAATTAAAAAGGTAGGATAAAATCGTGTTAAGATCCTAAGATCTCACAATAAATATTACTTTAGATAGATCGTAGTGAGATTGAGATTGCTTTTCGCGTATAGATTTTTAAAATCTTAAGATTTTAATATCAAAATTGAAATATTAACAACCACTAATAACCTTCAAAGAAAAAGTGGATGTAAAATTGCAACATATATTTACTGTGTTGAGAACCAAAAGATCTATACGAGAACCAAAAGATCTATACGAACATGAGAATTACTAATACAAACATCATTTTTTTAAAATTAAACCACAAATATTAACGAAATGCATCATATGGTATATCTAAAGTAAAAAAAAAAAAAAGATTTGATGATTTTTTTGACTGCTCATAATATATATATATATATATATATATATATATATATATATATATATTATGAGTGTAACAGTTATATGGATTTCAGATGCGTATATAACTGTTGATTTCATATATATGCATGTGTATATATTATATATATATATATATATATATATATATATATATATATATATGAATCAGCAATCATATGGATTGTGGATGCATGCTTAACCGTAGATATATGGTTGCAAACGAATATTTGACAACTACATCTAAGATAGATCGATGCTAAAAGAAAGATGATATTGATCATTTACAATCACATTCTCCATACCGATTTTCTATTTAATGATAACCTATATATAAACTATTTATTTAGATTTTTTTATATAGATATCATTTATTGGAAGACTATTGGGAAAATGACTTATTAAGGTAACTAACTATTTCAATTGTCCATATATAGGTAATGTTCTTTTTTTTGTACATATTAAGGTAACTAACTTGTTTTGTTTGTTCACATTTAGGTAATATGACCGGCTATCACCTGTTTTTGCTTATGTGGCATCCACCTGGCATTACGTGGCATGGTACATATATGGGAAAATGACTTATTAAGGTAACTAACTATTTCAATTGTCCATATATAGGTAATGTTCTTTTTTTTTATACACATTAAGGTAACTAACTTGTTTTGTTTGTTCACATTTAGGTAATATGACCGACTATCACATGTTTTTTGCTTATGTGACATCCACCTGGCATATGACTTGAATACGTTACACCTACGTGGCATCCACCTGACATATGACTTGTTTTGTTTCTTCTTCCTCATCTTATTCTTCAAAACAACAAGATGAATTTCAAGCTGATCATCCATTGATTGCGGTTTACCATCTCGTGTGAAGATTTCAAGAACTCCTGACAACCATGGAAGAAAATTTAGAGTTCGTTAAAACTCGATGGTAAATCAATATTGTTGAATATGTTGCAGGAGTTCTTGAAATCTTCACACGAGATGGTAAACCGCAATCGATAATCAGCTTGAAATTCATCTTGTCATTTTGAAGAATAAGATGAGGAAGAAGAAGCCATCATCGATCGATCTAGGGTTTAGAATTAGGGGTGGAATCGTATGACACAGTTATAGTGTAATCGAATGAAGACAAAATATGCACCATGCCACGTAGGTGTAACGTATTCAAGTCATATGCCAGGTGGATGTCACATAAGCAAAAACATGTGATAGTCGGTCATATTACCTAAATGTGAACAAACAAAACAAGTTAGTTACCTTAATGTGTATAAAAAAAAGAAACATTACCTATATATGGACAATTTAAATAGTTAGTTACCTTAATAAGTCATTTTCCCATATATGCACCATGCCACGTAATGCCAGGTGGATGCCACATAAGCAAAAACAGGTGATAGCCGGTCATATTACCTAAATGTGAACAAACAAAACAAGTTAGTTACCTTAATGTGTACAAAAAAAGAACATTACCTATATATGGACAATTGAAATAGTTAGTTACCTTAATAAGTCATTTTCCCTATTCGTTTTGTACGAGTTAAAAGTGTTTGATAGGTTTTCTTAATTTTTATCATAGTTGTTTTAGTTTTTGTATGTTACTAAGTTGTAATATTCTTTTCATATTATTTTCAATTTGTTATATATACAAATCAATATATATTTGCATAACTTTGAATGAAATCATCAATTAACGATATACATAACTTAAACCTATCCTAATTGTTTTAATTTTTTTTTTTTTTTTTTTTTGTTGGAATGATTTTAGAGTCAGTGACTGATCAGTTTTAGTTTTATACTGTTATTTTTTATCTCTAGTTCCACCCATCATTTTTTTTTTTATTATTGTTTTATCATCTACGG